CAAAGGGGGCTTTTGATTGCTGGATTTCCATACTTTGGCAGCTGGAACTTGGAGGAGCAGGAGGAGGCCAACTAAGGGACTGGACCTTGGTGGCCAGCTTTGGGAATGTAATTCAATGTTTTTTTTTAGCAAGACTGAGGGGGGGGAGGGGCATAGCTGGCCAGAGCCATGTTTGCCGTTCTCAGGCTGGCTAGAGTCCCTTCCCATAGTGTCCCATTTCATGGTGAGGAGGTGACAAAGGCCATCAAAAGCTATTGTCCATGTCCTGATATGGGTAAGACAGACACTCTCAGGCAGCCCAGGCTGAATGAGTTCCAAGCCTGGGAGGTCTACCGAGTTTCTGGACAACGGCAGTGGAGGGAAGCTGGAAACAGCTTCTCTGTTTGTTTGGTCAGCAGCCAAAGCCAGGAGTGGCCGATTGGGGCGATGTGGTCAAACTGGGATTGCACACTGTGTGTGTGCGGCGGGGAAGGCCTGGCCTGGGGATCTCCAAAGCAAGTGCCTCTGAGGTTTGGACAGGCAGTTTCTCTCTCCAACTTCTCATTCGGAAGGTTTGGGAGCCACAGGCGTTAGGTGTTGGGGTGGCTTCCTAAGGCTTGGAGTCCTATAGAGAATGCCAGGTGGGGCTATGGGCAGAGTGCCGTTGGCAGCTTGGAGGGGGAAAAGTAGAATATGAGGAGGTCTCTGAGATTCTCACAAGACTTGTTACAGTCGGTCTAGGATTTGAAGATTACTCGTGATCTAAAAATACACCCCAACTGCAGTATTCTTAGCTCCATAGTTCTGTCATTTGCATTGTTCCAGGCTGAATCACATCCGAGAGATGTCTTCTCTCTAATGTACGTCTGAAATGTGTCTCGTTTGTGCAATGGGCCAGCCGTACACTGAGAACTTAGACAGAACCGAGCCTTCACTGGGGGTGTGACGACCACCGCCCACATCTCCCAACCATTGTGATCGGGCACCTAGAGACCTAGTCAGCGAGGATGCGCATGGCTTTGGGTACCCCTCGGACACTTACACCTCAGTGTCCCTGACACCAAACCATCGTCCCCATTCTCTCACCAAAGTCCTCTTCTTTTTCCGTCCTTGTCATCTTAGGAAGCGGCTCCACCATCCACTACCCGCAGGCTCTAGCAGGTCTTGAGAGGCAACCCTGACATTTCATTTGACTTCCCGCCGGAGTCGAACCCTACAGAGAGTTCTGCTGACCCTTCCTTTAGGATGGCTCTTGAAACAGACAGACCACTCTGTATCCTCCCTGTCGTAGGTTGAGCCCAGCTGCCACCATGACTTCCCAGGGCTGGATTGTCAGTCAGAATCAACCATCTGGAAGGGTATGACATCATGTCAATCCTCTGACTCAAGTCCCTCATGGCGTTTCGGATGACAGTCAAGCTCCTTGCTTTGGCCTGCGGAGTCCCGCATGGTTTGTCTGCTCCTGCTTTCCAGACCTCATTCCAGCGGCACGCTCTGTGCTCTGGGCATGCGCAGTGCGGTCTGTGCAAGCTCTCGGCTCTTCTCCGTCCTTTGCCTTTTGCTTGCTGTGCTATCTGCCTGCACCGCCCCGCCCCTTCCTTCGCCTCTGCTTCCTCTGTCTCCTTCACCCATGAGCTTGATTCCCCCCCCCATCTCTGCCAAGTGCAATCACGTGTTCTGATCCCCCTTATCTCTTCCACCATCTGCAATCACGTTTGTACATTCTTTCATTTAATGTCTGTCTCCAACAGAGGTAGGAAGTGTGTCTGTCTTGGCACGGCCCTGTCACCGAATGCCACCAGCTTCTAATGATGAGCTCCCAGTCCGTGCTGACTGGTGCTTGAACGGAGGGAGGGAGGGAGGGGCGTGAATGGACACACTTCTGAGCTCGAAGCCTGTGTGGTATGGTAAGGTACAGACCGTTGGGCCTCAGAGGCGGGCACACCATTTCATGCACCCGCAGGACCGACCGGGCATTCGTATCACCAGACCTCGCTGGGACGAGTGTCCATCTGAACGGGGACACTTAACATTTTCACGGGTTCCTGGAAACGGACTCTCTCTCCCTGATCGTCTATTACGTTCTTTTTCTTCCAAACTGCTGAAGATCTTGGAACCAAATCAAAGTATTCTGCATTTCCATTTTTATGACTTAATTTATAAACTGAGCTTTATAATTTACAAGCACTCACTCAGTGTCTCTACCAGAGCCTAAACAAACAGCGGCTCTGCCAGCCCTACGCGTCTAGTCTATCCTGTACTATCCTGCTGCATCCGGCGGTGGCATGGTGTGTGTGGTGATTGCAATGAGAATGGCCCCCAGAGGCTCACATACTTGACTGTTTGGTTTCCCAGTTAGTGGAACTGTTTGGGAAGAATTAGGAGGCCTGGCCATGTTGGAGGAGAAGTGGCTTTGAGAGTTCAAGACCCACCCACGCCTTGGCCCAGTTAACACCCTCTCTCTGCCTCCTACTTGCGTTCGAGGATGTAAGGTGTCAGCTACTGCCCCAGAACCATGTCTGCCTGCCCAATACACTCTGTCTTCTCTAACCTGCCTTGGCCATGGTTTCTCTTCACTGTAATAGAATAGGAATTCACTATTACTCCAAGATGCTTGGCGTCATCAACGAGAGTGGCAATGATAATTAGCTTTGCGCTACAGAGGAGGAACTAAAACCACCCACTCAGGGAGTGGTGTGACCTACAAGGCTATCTGTAAGAGAGGGGCCGGGCCTAGACACGCGCCTCTGCCTTTGCTAGTGCCTGGGCCAGTGTGACTGGGGGCTGGACCACCTTTTGTGCATTCCTCAGACCCCAGCAGCCAGCCCTGGAGTATAACTTTCTGGCTGGTCCTTGGTGAGCTTGGGTAAGAGGGAAATGTCTCTGAGTTCAACTTTCCCGCCCAGAAAATGGAAAGATCCATGCCCCACGGTGTGTGCGTGCGTGCGTGTGTCTATGTGATTGATGAGTATTTCATCGCTGCTAGCTGTGGGGTACATGGTGACTTCAGGGACCTCTTGGGCTGTTACTGTTGAGAGTTAGCATGCCTTCTGGTGTTAGAGTACCTGAAACAAGCACAGGAAACACAAACAAGGGGACTCCCTCAGGAGACATGCCTTCAGGCACACCTTTGAGGGATTATGTGGATTAGATTAGCCTCTCTGTGCATGCGCCTCTGCAGGACTGTCTTGACTAGGTGAACCCACGCAGGCAGATCCACCAAGATGTAAGGTGGTGCTATTTCCTAGGCTTGGGTCCTGGGCTTCGTGGAAAAGGGGGAAGCTAGCATCCATTGTTTCCCACTTCCTAGGGCCAGATGCAGCTTCCCACCACCAGAACTCCCTTGACATGATGAACCACTCTTGGATGGGAGCCCAAATAGATGCTTTCTCCCTTAAGCTGTTTTGGCCAGGGTGTTTCACCGTAGCAACAAGAAAAGTAACTAAGACAGCGTCTAACTCCTCCCACCACATCCCCTGCTACAGCCCACTTTTCACTCCTGAGCCCTTTGGCCAGGAAAGTCCTCCCGTTGGGCTATCTGCCCAGCTTGACTGCCATCCTGCTCACAGGGACTGTCTCTCCCTTCCCCCGTAGTGGTCAGTTCCCTTGTGAATGCTGCTGAAGCTCTCCCACTCAGGAGTAAGTGGCGGTATTGGTAGTCCCCTCCTTTACATTTCCTGTACTCCAGAATGGTTTGCCTAGGTGCCTAGCCTGATGGACAAGTCTCAGCTCTGAGGGTGGCGGTGGCGATGGCGTCTACCAGGCTTCATTCTGCTTTAGCATTTTGCTTCATTTCCCCAGCAGCACCCTGCCTTACCACAACAATCAAATTCCTGGAGAGAATTGCAGAGTAGAAAAGGGGATCCCCAGGACCAGTTCAAACTCCCATCTCAGGCTCAGGTCCTTCTTTTTGGCCCTGACTGTTACACCAGACCCGACAGTTACTGAGAGGCCTTCCTTCTGGGCTTCAGTTTTCTCCCGGGTAAATTCAGGAGGGTGGATTACGATCTGCTGAGGGTTAGGAGATGAAAGGCACAGGTGCATCAAATTCTATCTCTCTTTACAATCAGTGTCCCTATCACTTAATCAGGGGGCGGGGCGTAGGCCACTGTGCCCAGCCAGGGGAAACTTTTTGCAGGATCTTTTTGTTTGCTTGTTTGTTTTTGCAAGGCCCAGCGTGGCAGGAGATGCCTCGCTGTAGCTGTTTTGCGATGCTACTTTCCCTGGGCAATGGAAAGCGGGAGGCTTCAGCGAGCTCAGGGGCAGTAGAGACTCAGACCCCACAGTCACATGGTCAGCCGGCCCAGGCGGCCCAGCCGAGGACTTTGCCACATTCACTTAGATTCCTTCAGAATCAATGAAGTATGCATGCTCTAAGCTCTGGCCTCTTCGGAGCACTCGGGGCAGAGACCCCTCTCCCAACTCTCCCAAGTCAAGCTAGTTCTCTGCACCCCTACTTTGCTGGGGGGGGGGAGAGGTGGGTATGGGGGAATATGGGGCCTCTAGTCCTTACTGCTTCTACTTTTTTTTTTTTTTTTTTTGCGGGGAAGGAAGCTCACATTTTGACCCCGCAGATAGGAAAGAGTCCAGCATCCCTGAAATTCTTTGCAGCCCGCAGGAGGGTTGCGGGTCCCCGCTCCTGCTAGGCTCAGCGGGGATCCCAGTGGGGTCTGAGCTTCGGCCGGCCCCTCCCCCAAGGTCATCCAACTTTTCCCTCCCCCTCCCCCTCCCCCGCGGGGCGGGCCCCCGCGTGCATTATTCATTGGCCCCGGCCCGGCCCGCGGCGAGCGCGGGTGCTGATGTCAGGCCAGCGCGGGCGAGGCGGGTGCGGCGGCCGCCCAGCAGCCCGGGCGCGGGTGGGGGGGCGCCGAGTGGGGGTGGCGGCCAGCATGCTGCTCGGCTGCGGCTCGGCCTCCCACACCCGCGGCGCCCGTGTCCTCGCCAGCAGCGCCGGCGGCCGATCGGGAAGCGGCACCCGCGTCTGCAGCGGTGCCGGGTCCGAGCGCGCGGCGCGGGGCGGCGGCGGGGGTCCTGGCCCGGGCGGGGACCGGGGGACCCGGCATGGCGCTGCGGAGGGGCGGCGGGGCGCTGGGGCTGCTGCTGCTCAGCGCCGCGTGCCTCATCCCGCCGAGCGCGCAGGTAAGGCGGTTGGCGCGCTGCCCCGCCACTTGCAGCTGTACCAAGGAGTCCATCATCTGCGTGGGCTCCTCCTGGGTGCCCAGGATCGTGCCTGGCGACATCAGCTCCCTGTGAGTGGGACCCCTCCATCCCCGCCGCGCCCTGCCCTGTGCCGGCCGCCACCGGGGAGTTGCGGCTGGTACTGACTGGGGCAGCGCCACCTGACCCTGCTCCCCAAGCCCTTCCTTTGCGGTTGGGTTGGGGGCGCACCACGGGACGTGGGTGGAGTCTGTGCCGCGGGCGGGGGGGAGGATAGGGCGACTCAGAAGCCCAGAGTGCGGGAATCCAGATAGGTCCGCGTGACAGTTTCTCATTGTGGCCCGGCCGCCCGCATCAGATCTACCTGGGGGAGCGGATGCCTCCGCAGACCGGGGCCCACAGTGGGGTAGGGTGTCTGCACCAGAGTCCACAGCCTGTGTTTCGCGCCCCGGGACGATCGTTGGGGTGCCTTAAAGTTTTGAGTGTTCTCTTGTGTTGTTGGGTGGGTGGGTGTGTGACCCAGGGCAACCGAATGTGCCCGGATTGAGCGGACTAACTAGGAATGGGTGAGGCCTCAAGGCAGCCAGCCTCAGATGTGCAGTGAGTCTGGACCTGTCCACACTGCAGGCTGGGAAGAGGTTAGCCTGGGCAAAGGCACGCAGTCTCTGGAAGTGGAGGGGCGGCTCCACGTGGCTTCAAAGAAGGGGGACCCAGAGGGTTCCCAAGTGCCTTGTGATAATGAGGTGTCCAGCTGAGCCCCTAGGGTGGGAAGCCACTTCTTGCCTTCAGTTCAAGAGGGCTTTTCTTGCCACCTTTCTCCTCAGTGGGTTGTGTTGCCAGCACAGGCAAAACTAATCAGAAAGGGTCCTCTGTCCACTTGCTAAGGGCTTTCAACTAGGTCTCACACAGTCACGCTGGCAAAACGTTGCTGTGGAGGGGGCATCGTCTTTATTGCTGGGACATTGCCTGCCAGGATAGTCCACCGGTCCAGGGTAAGGCACTGGGGCACCCTCTGCACCCCTCCCCCAGCTGTAGAGGGAACCCCGAGGGTGAGGGAGCCCTGGGGATAACATTTCTTGTGCCTTTTCCTGTGCCTCTTCTCGAAGGCCAAATAGCATCATGGTCCAGAGATGGAGAGGATCTGGGGTCCCGTTTACATCGTAAAAAGTTGGAAGAGTATAGCTGTCGGGAACAGCAGGCCCGTCTGACTCCTACTACTGCTAAGTTAGATCACATGGAGGATTCTAGAATGTCTCTTCTTAAGCCTTTCGGATATGATCAAAGCTGAAGTGTTCTGCATGTTAAACTCCAGTAACCTATGGAAGTCCTGCTGTGGCCAGAAAGGGTAGGAGGCCCCGAGGCAGAAAGAACCAAGCTTCTTTCCCGAGCTGACCATTTATCTGGCAGATGGTATTGCCTCTTCCTTTGTGGGCAAGTTCAGATGTCTCTCTGAGTTTCCCCCGAGGCTTTCACGGTGCATTTAATCAGAAGTGCTCTGAGTGTCTTTCAGAGACCAGCTTCCGAGGGGAATGTATAATCCTACCCCAGAGTTTCATGGGCCAGCATTAACTTTGTGTCTGCACAAACAGAATCTCGGGCAGAGGTGAAGTTAATTACCCATCTTCGGCAGGGGCCTCCCATAGCGAAGTGAAGGAAGCTAGGGGATTATTTTAAGCCGACATTGTGCAAGGAGCCAGAATGATGGTACAGTATTCTGTTAGCTAGATGAGTCTCCCTATTGATCAAGTGCATTGGAAGCAGCTCTTCCCCCCTCTTCTTGTTCCCTGGAAAGACGATGGCCAAACCCGTGATGCTTCACCCCAAGAGGAAGAGCGTGAAGCTCAAGGGGAGGATGAGGCCAATGGCCCACTTGGCTTGGCCTTTCCTGAAAGCAACCGGGCCCTCCCTCTGTTCCTCTCTTGCCTGTAGGAGCCTAGTCAATGGAACCTTTTTGGAAATCAAGGACCGAATGTTTTCCCATCTGCCTTCTCTGCAGCTGCTGTGAGTACGGGGCATCCTGTGCAAAATGGGGTCCTTGAAGGGTGGTTTCTGCCTCGTTGGTGTGGGCCTTCCTATAATACAACAGCTACCCAGGTCACCCTGCTGTCTCTTAGCTTTAGCTTGCCCTGTGGTGCCCACATTGAACTTCTGTCCTGCTGCAGCTCCTCACCTGACTTTCCACTGACTTCTCTCTCGGGGCCTCGTGGTAGATCCCGCTCACAGACCTGGCAATTGGGAGGTGGCTGCATTGATATGACCAGAGTTTCAACTCAATGACTAGTTCCCCCAAACTTCTCACCTCAAAAGGAACTTTTGCTTAAAAAATCCTGATATTACTGTTCAAATAAGAGCATTTCCAGCTTGTCTCACTCACAGGCATGCAGGCAGACAGCATATTTGCCACTGTAGGGTGCATTCTCTTATCTCACGGGTTTGGCATCCCTTTAGGAAAGGTACTTTTGTTTTCCCATCTGAGAGATGAAGAGATTGATGGCTCAGAAATGGTAGATACCTTGCCTCAACCCCCCCCCCCAAAGCTACATTTGCCCCGACTCCTCTTAGTGAACCATGCCCAAGTCACCTTGGTGAGTCCCTGCATTGGGCCCAGAAAGCCAAGTCAGCTGATGTCTGATAATGACCATAGATGCCCCAAAGTCACTCTTTGAAAGTAATTCCCTAGGCTGGTGTGTGTGTGTGTGTGTGTGTGTGTGTGTGTGTGTGTGTGTGTAGCTCAGTGGTATAGCGTTTGCTTGCCATGCAGGAAGCCCAGGGCCTCATCCTTAGCATCGCATAAACAAAATAGAAACTCGGCAGGCAGTTGCGAGTATGTAGTACAGGCTCTCGTATTTCTTGGACATAGTGAGACTGTAACTTCAGCAAGCAATGCACTCTAGGAGAAAGACACAAATCACTATCCATCTATCCTCAATAAATTGCCATCGGTAGCTTTGTTCTTGACACGTTTTATGCCTACTACAACAATGAACTTACCACGTAAAATCTCAGTTCACATGCCAGCACGATACTACTATGCCTGATGCCGTGAGTTTGATTCCTGTTTGGTGGGAGAACCGACTCCTTAAATTACCCCCTGGCCTCACACGTGTTGCGGTACACTGTGCCTAGAGACACGTCATGCACACATATAATAAACAAATAAATAAATGAGCAAAACACAGCTTTAAATCTCAGTCCTTTTAGAATAGAAATATAGCTTAGATATTATTCGGCTAAATTAGGTGGTTTCTATAAATATATTAAAAAAATACCTGGCTACTCATGTAAGACCCTCAGAACGAGGAGTCTCCCAGTTTCGGTGGGGACCCCCAAGAACTCAATGTCCAGTCCAGTTGCTGCAAAACGCAAGAGGCTTTAATGAACAGGAAACGTTTGCACAAACAGGCTCCTCCAGCATGCAGTCTAGAGAGAAGCCCCCTCTCCCGAGCACAGGTGTTTTTAAAGGCAAACCCACAAGCTTAGGGAGGGGGTGGGACCCTCTGTCCATTGAGTATGTGACCCTTTGAGACTGGATGGTCTCACTGTTAGGGTCAGCAGACCTTAGGGCCTCAGGGTGTGCTAATTAATTTTGTCTGGCAAACCCAGAGGTTTGTTTGTTTGCTTGTTTCTTAAGGACCCTATTCACCACCTGCTGACTCATGAGAAAGGAGGGCAGTGTGAATTCTGGGTATCTTGTTATCTCAGGGCCTTGTGAGGGGAAGTTAGCAAATTCCAAGGAACAGATATTGGTTTCCAGGTTAGCCCTTCATTTCAAGTGAGGGGTTTCTTTAACTTTACTTTTTTGTCTTTCACTCAGATAGAAAATTGCGTAGTGATGATCTTCAGGAGATGTCTTAACTCTTTAAAAATGATTATTTCTCATGAGAATGTAAAGCGTGGTAGGATAGATTTTTGCTTTTTTCGTCCCCACTGTGTGATGTTAGTCAACTCTTATCTTCTTTGGGCTCAACTATCTCTAGAATACGGTTGGGTTAGCTCCTTGTAAGTCTGTGATTTCTGGTATCTTGGGCATCATGAAGTATCCATTGGTTACCCGGCTGTGCCTAGCAGAAAATTGTTTTTGAATAATGGCCATCAGTTCATATTTCCCAAGATCCATATTTTCCAAGATGGGGACAGAGAGGTAGTATTCGAGGTGCGGAAAGTTCATCCAGCAAGGGACCCCTTCCTCACTGTGTGAGAACAATGGGGAACCTGAGTGAGGGGGCTGTCCTTAGACGGAAGAGAGCCTCCATTTGGGTGGGTGCCCACCGATCGGCCCCTAACAAAAGAAAGAGACATGGCTTGACCTTCCCGCCTCCACTAAAACCTTTCTCATTTTCAGATTGCTGAATTCTAACTCATTCACGGTGATCCGCGATGATGCCTTTGCTGGCCTTTTCCATCTCGAATACCTGTAAGTGTTGCTCTAAGTTCTTACTTCCCAGCATGCTTGGGCAGCAGCAGGAGGAGGAGGCTGGGGACGAAGCTCAGGAGGGGGTCACTCACTCATTCATTCTCTGCTGACATTTAATTTGGCATGTAGTAAGTAAGACTGGAAATTGTGTTGGATATTTTTACCTCCATAACTAGGCATGGATTTGCTGAGGGGCCAGAAATAGAGCTGGATGGTTCTCAGGGCTACCTATTTTTAAACAAAGTTTCCCTGTTTGAGGGTAAACTGCCTGGTTTGTAGCCAGCTGTCCCACATCCCATTTGCTCTATCCCCTGTGAGTTCTTCTGAGGGGTTGATTAGATTTTTTCCTTTTCCTAAAAATGAAAAACCAACTGAAACCAAAACAACATTAAAAAAAAAAAAAATCAGGAGGGGGGTTATTCGCCTCTTCAGATGCACCTTCCCCCCTCCAGCAGCCAGCCTGGCCATGGTCCTTATTGCAGCCTTTATCACATTCCGGCCTTTCTCTTCCCCCTTAAATTGTCCCAGTCTCACGGTTAGTGAGTCTGTAATATGCTAATCCTGCTATCAGTTGGGATTTCCTTGCTTAGCATTCAGAGGATTTGCAAAGCCTTGTTCCTGCTGTCTTATCTGAGGTGAACAGGTAGACGTTGGAATTCTAGACACATCCCAGGTAGAAACAGTCTCTACGGATGTGAGGTCTCAGGGAACAGTGGCTCCCCAGGAATTCTTTCTGCGAAGAACCCTCCCATCATCTGGTATTTTGGCATGCATTTGATGTGGAAGGGATGTCGACTCCAAGGCTGAAGCCACCTAGTTCTTCCAAAGGCCCGGGAATAGCTGTGGGATACCTGGGGTTTTCTCTGATGGGGACTTCAAGTGTGGCCCCCGGCATCAGGGAGGAAGTTAGCTTATCAGGGTACGCCAAAGTCTAGTACTAAACAGCCACCAGCGTTTTAAAATCAGGCGTCAGAGAGCTCTGTCTGTGAGAGCTAACTCATCGTGTCACAGACGTGGCAAAGCCTTTCTCTTGGGCCATCTCATCAAAGCCTGCTAGCGTTTGACTTCACTCTTGGGCCCTCGGGAACAGTTAATAGTGTATTCCTGTCGTCTCTGAGAGTTCATAGCATGGCCAGTGCCATCACCACAGGGTTTCTGTGCAAGTCCTGTACCATTTCAGCAGAAAGAAAGTCAGCCATGCTCCCCGCACTGTCTTTTCTGCTTTCTAGCTTCGTTCGGAGCTTGAGAACATCCTTTCTTGTCACCATTTGCCTAGAGATGAGGCAGTGCAGGGCAGGATGAGCTCAAGGTTGCTGGAAGCCATGCTCAATGGAACTCTTCCTACACGATGTAAAACAATAGGCTCTCTTCAAGGGACGGTGGTGTTAACAAAAGTGTATGGATAGCCAGGCACAGGGCAACGTGAATCGACACTGGGAAAATGTCTGGAATCATTCCCGTCTTGCAGAGGTGGGAGAATTTCTGGCCTCTGTGTAGTACATTCTTCTCCCTTCCCCAATCCCAAGATGCTGTCGCCCATGTTGCCAGCTCTAAATTTGCAGACATCCATGCTGATCTGGAAGGAGCAGAGAGGCTGCATGCATGTTCCCTTGCTCACATGGCCGGCTCCCTTGTGGGGTTTAGCGTAGCTTGCTGCTAACTTGGGAGTTTTGATACTTCATGAGAGCTTTCCGATATTACTGCCAAAACACACTGTGTCATCTGTTAGTGATATGAAGGAGAGGGAATTGGGTTATATTATGTGCTTCTCTCCTTAGGTTCATTGAAGGGAACAAAATAGAAACCATTTCAAGAAATGCCTTTCGAGGCCTCCGTGACCTGACTCACCTGTAAGTCCTCTGTTCTACGTGCTGGGGAGATTGTACGGTGCTGGCCATGCAAACGTGAGGCCCTTGGTTAGATCTCCTAAACCTATGTAAGAAGACAGGCATAGTGGTGCATACTTGGGACCTCGGTGCTACCATGGCAGAGACTGGAGGACCCCGGGGGCCTGCCGGCCAGCCAGCCTCTCCTAAGCAGTGAGCGCCAGGTCTCAGGGAGAAACTTTGTCTCAAAAAATTCAGGCGGATGGGTCCTGTTGTCATATACGCCCACACGTGCGTACGTAAGCACACACACGCATGCACATGCATGCACATAGGATTGTTTTTCCTTAATGTTCCCATATCACAACATCTGTCAGAGGAAGCTCATTTCCAGGTCTCCCGAGAGGTTCCGATGCTGTCAGACAACGCTCACTGTGATGACCAACTGCTCATTGGTCTCCACCATCCTCTGTCACCGTGGGGACCCACATGGCTCCATGTGAAGTGGGAAACCCTCAGCGCTGTGAGGGCCTTGTGCTCAGGGAGGACGTAGGATAGAGGTGTGGTTCTTATGCCCGCCAGGTGCCATGTGCCAGGCCTGGTACTCGAAGACCTCCGTGTTTTCTGATAACCTGTGAGTTCCCACTCTACAGAATTGGGAAGTGATACTTAGTAGACTCAGTGAAGGACATTACGTAGAGGGTAAAGTGACGACGAGACACCGGGGTCCTCCCATTAGGATGAAAGGCCCTTTTTCTGTTATGTTAGGTTAATCTGTAGTTTCAACCAAGCCCTCCGATTCCTCACTGGCTTGCCAGAGACCAAAGGTGGGGGTGGGGGTGGGTGGGGAGGAATTGATCTGAACGGATCGGCATCGATCGGATTGAAACAAGCACACACACACTTAGAAAAGTTAATAAGCCTGGAAAAAAAATAATGGCTGTGTTTGTGAAAATGCAAAACCAGACGTAGTCATGGCAGGAGTCATTTATTAGCCAAGACCTGGGCTTCATTTGCATAATAGTTATCTTTTGTCTGAGGAAGATGATGGGAGAATTGAGAAAACTGGAGGGCACTGGCTGTGGGTGCTGGGACCTTTGAGTGTAGCGATGACCTTAGTGTGGGGACATAGTCATTTAAAAGAGTGAGCACAGCGAGCCTGGCTTTTGGGGCCGTCAAGCGGAACCCTGCCTGAGCTGAGGGCTGCAGAGTAAGGAGATAGACAGCAGCTGCGGGAGATGGAAACATATTTGTCAGCACTGTGTGTCGAGGAGAATGTTTGCTCTGTTGATGCTACTGTCCTAGGGTTTCTTGTCTTTCTGTGGAGGTTCAGACTTCTCTGAGTCAACCTGTACGCCAGAGCCATAACTTCCCATGGACCGAGGGGTTTCAGGCCTGGGTTCAAAACTCCAGATCATCACTTATTGATGTCACTTAGCGTTTTCTGACCCTTAGTCTCCTTATTCTCAAGACAGTGATGATTATACTGTCTGTGGATGGTTGATGCACATAATAGGTTTATGACGTTTGTCTGCAAAGACCGAAGCATCATCTTCATAATCACCATCGTCGTCGTCATCATCATCTCCTCAATGATAATGCCATCCCATCCTTCCAGGCATTAAAAAGTCTTGGCTTTCTCTCTGGATTGATAAATTTTCCTGGCCATTTGAGTATCCAGACAGAGACTTCTGAAAGGATAGATATGGCTGTCTGGAGAGGAACAGATAAGAGTGGTCTCAAAAGTTGGGAAGGAGGGCTGTTGATATCAGGTACAGGCTCTAGGCAGAACCCAAATATTGTTTGTAGATGGAACTGCCCTTATCTCCCCTTTAAACTTCTCATGCAGAGAAAGCCTCAGCTCCAAAATCCACTCACTTCCTTAGGGAAGTCACTGCCCCAAATCTTCTCATTTAAATGAAATGTTTGTTGCTGGCCTTTTGTGAACTTTCCCAACACTTAGATATCCATATTCATATTAAAACATGAGTTGGGTTCCAAAGCATGGAGGGACCATTGCCAATCTGTAACTAAAATCTAGGACATTTGTTTTCCAGCGGTCTTATAGAACCCAGGGGACAGGAAGCTATTAAACAGTTTGAGAAATGAAGTAAGTGCTGTGGGTTTGTAGACAAAATGAAATCGAAAGGAAGACGTTACGTTAAGCACTTAGCTTGCGTAGGGTAGATAGCTCATGGAAATACCCAGGTTGCAAGCCTGGAGCAATTTAGCAGTTGCTAAATATTCTTGTTTGTTTGCTTGCACTGGTCATTCCGTATCTAACTATATTATTACCATTTCAGTGCAACAGCTTTCAGGTAGCCGAATAGTTTTAGCTGAATAATTAACTCATATTCAGCTAAAGGTTTTTTTTTCCCCCCTTTGCTTTCCAAATCAAAACAAACGCCCCCTCCCTTTTTTTAAATTTCCAAAAGTTACCCCAGTGTGTGTTCAGTGTGATTACGTAATCAGTTTATTTCCTGACACATCAAAAAAATGTGTAAGTCCCTCATTAAGAAAAGCAAAGTAAACTAGCACATGCAATGGTGTTCTAATCCATTTACAGTAGCCTGAGTGGGAGGGGGGATAGTTGGAAACTGGTAGCCTCCCATTCTCCGTTGGTTTTGAAGGAAGAATGTTCAGAGTAAAAAGGAGCTTAAACTTTCTACTACACCCCACTGACTGTAAGGAGACGTAGTCATTTATTCAGCTGTCATTCTGGGATGGGCCATGACCATGCCATGACCAGGTAGGACTCACTTCATACATGTTTTATAAACTACCCACATGTTTATCATTTGTACGCATTGCCGTTTATACTCACAAGTAGAAGAAAACTCTAGAAGAAGGTGTCCACTTCTCAGCCAGTTTACATTAGTGTGTCTGGGGAAAGCACACACTTGGTGTACATTGTTTCCACACTCAACATCTTGTCACAAGGACACTGCGCTGTGGGCATCCATCGTCAGCTGGCTGGCGACAGGGCACTGCAGAATCCCGGATCAATGGTAGCTTGAGGTGGGTGTGGACTAGCGTCGCAGAAGTCTCTCCAAAAGGAAGAAGAATCAGGGGAGTGATTTCTAGTCAGCCTCCGATAATGAGAAGATGAAAAGGTCTCGGTCAGCTGTTCAGTAACGTGCCGCTTCATTGAGATTTCATCATGTTACCCTAGTGTGTCAGAGTGGAGTGTGTTCATGTAAGAGTGTTCACTGAGTCTTCTTCGGAAGCACAGCTGTTCAAATATACTTTGATGGAGCATAAGAGAACTTATTGGGGAAATTGTACATCTTTCATTGTTAGTCTCATATTGTTGCTTCATTCATTCATCCAATCATTCACCCACCTACCCACCCACCCACCCATCCATCCATCCATCCATCCATCCATCCATCCATCCATCTATCCATCCATCCAATCATCCATCCATCCATCCATCCATCCTTCCATCCAATATTCATCCATCCATCCATCCATCTAATCATCCATCTACCCATCCATCCATCCATTTTCCAAAAATAGCATATTCATCTTCTTTATCAGCAAAAGTTTCCCAACTCTCTGTGTGTTTGTATTGTTCAAGGGGTGGGAAAAAACCATGGACAGACAGCAATCTCTGTTGCTTTTGTGTCAGGAAGTTACCCAGTCAAGAAGCAAACAATTAAAACATTAATATGTGGCTGGGTTAGTAGTGAGTGTTGAAATCTCACCTAATGGGAAGGTTCCTAGACTATGGAGAGTCCTACAACATCATGAAATGGGATCTTGGCATTTTTTTTTTTTTAATTTTCTAGACATGCCCTTACTGTCTAGAGCTGGTTGGCCTGAAACTCACTGCATATACTAGGCTGGCCTCAAGCTCATAGAGATCCACCTGTCTCTGCCTCCCACTGGCTGGAATTAAAGGTGTTTCTCCATGGTGTCTGGCCTGGAAACTTGTTTTTTTTTTTTATTCCAGGAACCAGAGAAATCATCTGTAGTTTAATAGCTGTGTGTAAAGAGCTTAATGAAGTGCTATTTTCAAAACAAGAAAAGCTCACATTGGAATCAGGTTGTCTTTGTGTGATGGAACGTGTGTCTTTCTCTGGGTGTTGAGCAAAACCATGACTGAGCCGTGTTTTGACGCAGAGCCCTAGCCTTCTCCTTGAATCGTTAGAGGCACTCAACTGGATTTCAGGATGACCGGCAGGAAGGTGGTAGTAACCACGTTAAAATGTGACTTTCTTTTTCTAGTTCTTTGGCCAACAACCACATTAAAGCACTTCCGAGGGACGTCTTCAGTGATCTTGATTCTCTGATTGAACTGTAAGTAATGTAAATTAAGCTTGTGTGTACCGGTTGTAGCACACACTGAGAAACAGCATGGGAGTTGTCTTGGCTGAATTCAGCGTTAGACACTGTATCCTGTGTCCAACAGTAAATTAGGCTTGCTGGATGGGTGGTCCCCGAGTAGTCTTTCCATCTGCTTTGCCTTCTCAAGTTTCACTAGAAGCATTGCGACCGGAGCACATTGTGCTGGATGCAGTTTAATAAGACCTGGATTGGTTCAGTTGTGTTTGTGAACGCCATCTTCCTATTACATCCTGTTTTTATCTGTGGGAACCTATATTGGGGTGTTCACCCATCCCTCCCCACCTCCGCCACTGCGCGGAGACAATTTTCAGAGGGACGCTGTCTCATCTTCGAGAGCCCTCTGTATGCATTCAATCAAAACGGCTGCATCAAGGAGTACTCACTAAAGATGACAATACGTGCAAGAAACGAGATGCACGAAACACAATCGCTTTAAAGAAATTCCACAATTGGATTGCTTTAGATGTATCAGGCTAGGGATAACCCCAGTGTTTCATATTACTACCAGAAGCTCATCAAGCACGCCTGCTTCCCTGTGTGTGCGTTCGCGTTCTGTATTTCAGAGACCTGCGGGGTAATAAATTTGAATGTGACTGCAAGGCCAAATGGTTGTATCTGTGGCTGAAGATGACAAATTCCACTGTGTCTGATGTGCTGTGCATCGGGCCACCAGAATACCAGGAGAAGAAGCTCAATGACGTGAACAGCTTTGACTATGAGTGTACCACCACAGGTAGGCAGAGCCTCTGTCCTCAGAGATGGACACAGAGAATAATCTGTTCTTTTCCATGTACATTGCCAGCTGCATATAATGGAAAGTAGACATTTTCTATCAAAGTGTAAGGATTTTAAGAGAAACGAATCCGGGCTGGTCAGGCGGCTCATTGAGGAAAGGTGTTTACCACCAAATTTGGTGACCTGAGTTCAGTGCCTGGGACCTACGTGGTTGAAGGAGAGAACTGATTGCTACCAATTATCTTCTGACCTACACACACACACACACACACACACACACACACACACACACGCACGCACGCAAGCACACAGTAAATCATATAAAATATTTAAGAAATGAATCAGTTTGGTTAGGGAAATATCTCAACACCTAGAAAGAATTTTGTTAGCTGCACTGGCTCTAGTTTTAATTTATTTTTCTTTGTTTTCCTTGACGCTCCGTTTGGGACAGGGTATCATATATAGCTCAGGCTGGCCTAGGTCTTGTTACGTTCAACAGCTGGCCTTGAACTTGAGGCCCTTGTTCTGCTGTAGCCTCCCAAGGGCTAGGTGTTACCTTTGCTTTTTTGTTTTGTTTTTTCTTCAGCAAGCTTGTTGTAATTTTGGTGCTTTGTAAAATCCAAATACTCCATTGCTGTCTCTTCCCTCTAGCTGTGTGTGTGTTTCTGAGTGCGTGCGTGTTTTCATGTGTGTGCATGCATGGGGTGTGTGGATGCCAGAGGTGACATTTGTGTGCCATTCCTCAGGATTGCTTTTTCAGGCAGCATCTCTCACAGTCTAACCTGCTGATCAGGGGACTGGACAGACGGCGAACCCTGAGGTCTGCCTGACTCAGCATTGAGCTCACACAAGCTCCTCACCACGCCCACCTTTTCTTATATAGGGGGAGAAAAATTAAGGCTCTGGGGGAGACAAATTAAGTCATCATATACGGAAAGTACTTTTCTGCCGGTCTGTCTGTCTGTCTTTGAAATTGAAATACAGACTTGAGAATTTGGCATGAGACCTGCTTCAAAATGGCCTGCCTTTCATGGAAAGCCAGCACAGAGAAGTCAGGATATTTGTGCTGTCACTAGCCCCCCCTCCCCCGTTCCCAGTAAGATGATCCTTATTATAAGTTTAATACCAGATTTTTATACCTGTAAGTTATTTTCCATTTCAAGTAGGAAGAGATAACTAGGGAAATTATAGCCTGTGGCGGAGTAGAACATTTAAGGTGAGACAGGTGGTTGCTGAAGGAGAACATCCACGGGGAGGGAAGTCTGTAAAGGTAGTTTGTTTTTTTTTCAGAGCCCACCTCAGGGTTTCCATTTCCACGTGTGAGAGGTTATAGACTAAAATTAAAACGCCATCTACCTCCAGGTCCCCACAGGTAGAGGGCAGGGGGTACCTCCGTTTGAAAGGCTCAAGCAGGTTTCCACTGGTTCGGAGGCCGGATTTTCAAGGAGAAAGGATCAGTCCACAGTGTGCAGCCGGCTTTCTAGATGTTTGTGGAAATAAACGGCGGGGCGGCGGGGCTGGGAGTTGCTATCTACAAAGCCTGAAGGAATGTTGGGAGGGGCGGAATGAGAACTCGGGAAAGGGTTGAAGAAACACCGACAACGTAAAAATCCCAAGAACAAGGTATATGCGGGTCAGATCTACTTCTCCCGTCCAAAGAAGCCAAAACTCACCAAGCAGAAAGGAATCACAGCTGTCCGTGAGCACGTGTGCTTGCAATCAGGGAAACCCACAAGTTCCCCTCTTTTACGGGAAACTGGACATTTCAAGGAAGTAGCCCTGTCTTGCACCACAACAAAACTGGGCAGTATGCAGCTGTGTGATTGGCAGCCTTTACTCAGCCTGGCCACTAAGAGGTGGTTTATTGTGCTCCCAGGACCAGTGCAGTGAATCAGGGGTCATGGTCAATGGCATGTGTACAGAAAGTTGTCGTAGTTAAGTGCTACCCTACAGTGTTCTGAGGTTCTGCCTGGCCTTTCCTTCCATTCTTTTCTGGAGAATTCTCTAAACCCCACAGAGAGATTGACGTTTCCCATCATTCTGTTCACACTGGGCACGGTGTCCATCTCTGAGATGACACAGGCTCATAGGCAGCTCGGGGAACAGAGCATCATTTATGACCTCAGGAACTTCTGGGTGGTTCTAAGTGTGCTCTGGGACTGAGAATTACCATTGGAAAGGAGGTGGCTTGCACCTGGAGCAGCCAGGACCTGAGCCCCAGAACCCATGGGGGCAGCGTGAGTTCTGGGCCATCTCTTGGATTTGTCCATCTTTGCTGACAAGGTTCCTACTCCTTTGCAAAGTTCACTTGGGGCTTTCAGGTAAGCAGCTATGGACTGCTTGGCCTCTGCTGCCCTAAGGTTCATGGACACACACGCTCTGCTCCGAGATTTTTCTACATGGGGGTGACGGCACAACAAGATGACCAGATACTGTTCCTGTTGCATAAGTGTGTGGTCAATAGATTGTGAGGGTGTTGACATTCCTGCCTTCTGCCCATATCAAACTCCTGGCCTCGGGCGTTTTACCAAAGGCTCGGTAAGTGTGCGTGAGAGGGTGCCCGGAAAATGGGGAACCGACTTACTGAGAGAGATTAAGACCAAGCAGAACTCAACTGACGCAACAAGCTCGGGGTCACTTTGTAGCTTCCTTGCTTTGGGGGAAGCCATGTTTTTCTTCATTCAGATCCCTCCCCGTGTGGGCCCAAGTGAGGAAGGCATTGCCACCATGCAGTCCCTCCACAGAGGGGAGTCATGAGCTCGCAGCCACCACCAGGCTGCCTCAGCAATTCAGACTAATCACAATTCTTCCACACCCTCCCCTTCAAGTCTATTTTTAACCAGGCAGAGATCCCTGTTACCCACCGATGATCCCATGTTAGGTGGATAATTCACTAAATTCCTTAGAGGGAGTGAGTTTTGCATCCTAATTGTCCTGTTATCTCCCTTGTTCGGGCTGATGAAAATGCAAAGAGAAATAACGCATTAATGTGCACACTCTCTCCCCATAGGCTCACATCATGTATAATTTATTTTCTGCAAGTTCTATAAATAGCTATGTAAAAATGCGTGGATTCCAGTGGGAGAAAGGCCGAAACTGTAGAAGACCCACTGACATCATGAACTTGGTCTGACGGCAGAATGCACCATTAATATTTTAATGCTGGTAAATTGATGTCACTTCAGTACGTGTGTCCTTTGAGGGCTCTCTACAATGACCATGCCTTTGTGAAAGTTGGGTTCAGATGTGGTCAGGAAAAGCTATTTAAATTTGTCTAGCTCCTTTCTCCAGAATGTATAGGTGCCTGTCTTAGTCACTGTCCCTTAGCCTTCCTCCCTTTTCCTTTGATGACAGGAGTCGGGCTGTCTTCTATGAAGGATTACTCATTTGTGTGATTAACAGTCTGTGTATAGGAAATATTATGAAACGATGAATTTAATTTGGAAAAATAAATTAAAACCGGGCCACGGAGGCTCGATTTGTATAACACGTTCTGCATTCTGGTAGAACTATTTTTTTTAAACTCTTCTTTTTAATTTTAATTGAGTACATGCCCACGAATTTGTATATCCTCGGCACCTGCCAAGGCCAGAAGAGGGTACGCTGTCTCTTGGAGCTGGAGTTACAGGCACTTGTGAGCCACCTAACACGGATGCTGGGAATTGAACTCATGTCCCCTGCAAGAGCGGCAAGTCCTCGTAAACACCGAGCCATCTCTCCAGCCCCTATTCTGGCAGATCATTTTATGTTGCAGGATCCCTCAGGAAAGGCGGAAGCCTTTGATGCTACTGTAAATCCCACACATTCTAATGCGGTCGGAGGCCTAGGTTTCTGCGAAACCGGAGCAGGCAGATGGGGGAGCTGAAGACAGCAGGGAGCGTTTAGAACCTGTGGCCTCCGCCATGAAAGAAGGCGGCCCAATGCAGAGGAGCTTATCACTGTCTCTGCTGACATGAAATGAAAAGACCTACGCTCTTTGATGTCACAGAGCCCGCAGGAGCTAGCCCGTTCCTGTCCACCTGCCTTGAACACACGCAGCCTGCAACACTTGCTAGTTGCCTCCTGCACTGGCCTGGCTGTTATTTCCTGGTGGTGGGGGTTGAGGGGTTATCAGAAGCAGGCTGGCAGCTGCTAGGCATCTTCCATAAGTCCTCAGCAGGTGGCTCGTTACTGTCCTCTTGCCTAAGTAAAACCCTTGCTGGGTGGCGTCCTTTGGAAATGGAGGCTCCATCTCCCACCTTCCGTCACAGGGAAGCTTGATCTGCCTGACCTCCAGAGCTGGTCTCCCCGGACTCTGCTGGGTTGTGTGGGGTCAGCCTGTTCACTAGAACCATATATCCCTCTGCAGGGCGGTGTGCAGTTGCCTGGTGTCTCCCCTCCCCCCCCCCCCCCCCGTTCCTCCCCAGGTACCTACACTGGCGATGCAAAGCAGAGAGAATGGCAGTTGGAATTCTCACAGGGGTTTTTTTATGAACTAATATTTGCTTTTCAATGCCCACTCTCAGATTTCATTGTTCATCAGACACTGCCCTACCAGTCGGTGTCGGTAGACACGTTCAACTCCAAGAATGACGTGTACGTGGCCATCGCTCAGCCCAGCATGGAGAACTGCATGGTGTTGGAGTGGGATCACATAGAAATGAACTTCCGGAGTTATGACAACATCACAGGTGTGTTGCGAAAAGAAACACCCCCGTTATAGTCAAGGGAAGGGTTGATGCCCTACGGCCAGGAGAGGCAGGGAGCACATTCCAGCCCACACCCATTTCATTCTCCATATGCTCAGATATCGGTGATAGCAGAACTTCAGGTGCTAATTTCTCACTGGTGGGGGCCTTTCGGAGAGAGGAGGTGGAGACTCCACGGGTAAGGCGAACAACATCTCCCTTCAGTGTTAGGAGCAGTTTCCCGCCAGCCTGGTCCCAGTGCCTCCAGCCCCAAACAACACACAGAGACGCTGTATTAGATATAACTGTTGGCCTGTTCTTAGCATTCCCTATTAGCTAGCTCTGTCAGTATTAACCCATTTTTGTTCATCTAAGTGTTTCCACGTGTGAGCTGGCCTCTCTCATTCTCTACATCATAAATCTCCTCTACTACATTCCCCAGACTCCTCCTTGTCTCCTAGTCCCGCCTATCTTGCCTTCCTATTGGCCAACAGTGCTTTATTCTTTCACCAATAAGAGAAACATATTTACAGAATGACATCTCCCATCACTTCCGTGGTAAGAAGTCACACGGGAATCCCATGGTCCTGCATAGCTACGGCAGCCTGTCTGCCAGGGCTAAGCCACAACTTTTTGCTAAGCATGTGCGCGCGCGCGCGCACACACACACACACACACACACACTCACACACGCACACACTCTGCGTGTTCCCTCGCTGGGTATTGATGACCACTGCTCACACTTAGTAAAAGCATACCAATGAGAGTGGATCACACATAAATTCAGGCCTTTGGCTTCTTTTGGCGCTGCTGCTGTGGTTTTAGTGATACTAAAACATGAACTACCGGCTTGCTCCTTAAGTAGTGGTTAAAGTTAAGATCAAAACAATTCTTCAGTCCTCTCAGCTTTCCAAGTGTAACTGATACTGGCTGTAGAAACCGCACTCTGGGAGCCTGGTCATTGCCCTCTGAGAGACTTCCTGCCCAGGCTCCAGGAGGCACTGAACTGTTTCTCTGCAGTGTACCATGGTAGAAATTCTGGGCTGGGAAGATCCTCGGAGTTTCTCAGGCACAAATGTCTACACAGCAAAAGCAGGGACACAGGTAGTCAGAAACAGTGGCATTTCACTCCTGGGGGGCGGGTACTAATGAGTCTAATCATGAGTCCTGATGCCTGGGAGGGAGATGCCATCTCAGATGAGCCAGTTGCTGCTGCCTCAGCCACCTGGCCTTCTAGTGTGGAGCTTCTTTGTGTCCAGGGAGCAGGGCCTGGGAGCACAGACTCGGCGTAGAGCTGCCTGGAGAGCCTTGGGTGTGAGACGATCCTCATACCCCGGTGGGAGTTTGCATGGCTTGGGGCCTGGCAGAGGCTGGTTTGGCCTGGGCATCGGTGTAGTCAGCACAGCTTTACAAGTGACCTCCTCTATCCATTCAGGGACAGAACCTATCTCTATCTGTGTCCCTGTCCCAGACTGGTGAGGATAGAAAGGGGTGGAACTGCTATCTACCTGCCCTTTGCCACTCACTGCAGCTGGCAGTGGGGAGGGCGGGGAACGGGGGTCCCGCTTTAGGGTTCTTGGTCTCATTAATAAAAGGTTTTAAGAACGAACTCAAATGTAAGCTCAAACCAACTTTATTAGTATTAAAAGGAAAAGCGCAGGGCACACAAGCACTAAACCTCAGCAGCTGCCTGGAGGGGCCAAATGGAAGAGACACAGAAAAGGCCTCCCGTTTAATCTGATGCAATGGGACACAGGTGAACCAGCAGCCACGTGGTGTGGAGGGGAGCTTTAGAGAGAGAGAGAAGCCCACAGTGTTAAGGGAAGCAGGCTTAGAAACGGGGTAGAAAAGGAAAAGTTGGACACTTACCTGAATGGTTCAGGAAATCAGGCAGACTTACAAACCTACTTGGCTATGGTCCAGATCTGCTAGCCTCTGCGCTAAAGATGTTGAATCTGGGGAGGGAAAAAAATCTCATCAAAGGACTAATTAGCCCACCTAACTCTAGCCTGGCTTAAGGCAAGCCTTCCTCGCTGGAGGTGATTGACGCACCTGGAAAGGTAGGGCTCCCTTTCTTCCAGAGATTCTGAGCCCTTGGTCTGGGATTTTTCTCTTTTAACTCTACCGCTGGTGGTGACTTCAAATCCTTCTTTCTTCATGCATTAATTTGTTGACAAAGATTGCTCGGGCCCTTCCTCAGAGCCAGCTGTGTTCTAGTGGGCAGGGACATCGTATTTGGGCAAGTTCGTTAATGTTCATATGTCATCTGTGCAGTGGGAATCTTATGGCTTATGTTTTAGATGGGATTAGTATAGCATTGGACTTGGCAGTCTGGTAAGGAGGAAATGGGTAACCTGTGTATTGAATGGGCAGAGCCCAAGGACAATGGTAACCTTGTCTGCTATGGATGAAATGGGGCCCACTCTCTTCCATCAGACCCCAACTTTCTGACTTCAGGTAAGACATCTAAGACTTGTTTAGCCATAGGGAACCCCAGAACTGGCAGAGGCTGCCTGAGAGTGAATTTTTCAGACAAGAGAGTGTTTGTCTCTTGGTAGCTGAAGTCTAGTTTGGTGTGAAAATCTTACTGGCTTAGGTGTGCAAGCCACTAGCCTTGAACAATAAAAAGTAAGGGAGGGAGTGTGGATGGTTCTCTACCCCCTGGGCTGGGACTTTCTCGTTCATGGTCTTCCTTGTCATAGAGTGGCTCTAAAGTCAGCAGGAGCTGCTCAGTGTGTCTCAGTCTGTGTCTGTTAGAAGAGGTCTCTGGGCACCTTCTCTACCGGAGCCCTGGTCAGGTGTCCCCGGTTGACGAACCAAGTGGCCATGTTCACATCGATGTCTATCGCTTTCTCTCCATCATCTTCTCTTCATCACCCTTCAGTTTTCTTGTTTTTTTTTTTTTTTTTATTGTTCTGTGACTTCTGCATGTTCCAACCTATAATTTTTGCAGACAGACAGGAAGACAGATGAGCACACACACACACACACACACACACACACACACACACACACACACAATTTCTGTTGCTGCTGATACCCACAGGCTTGTCACCTGGACAGTGGGCTTGAGGTCTAGGACAGACAGACAGATTTCTAAGCTGCCCCCCAGACATAGGGACCTCTATAGTGCCCCCAAGAGGAAGAGGAAGCTTGAATTAGAAATTGCTGTCTGTAGGGTGGGCGTTCTCGAGTACTTTGGCAGTTCATGCCTCACAAAAAACACCCAACGTTTATCCTAGCAGATTCTTACAGTTGGGAAGCTGCCAGATGGTTTCGAAGCCTGTTTATTTAACAATATGAGGAAGGGGAACGTCATTTATCAATAACGAAAAAGCAGAAAGAACTGCTGTGTCCAACAGTAGAGGATTAGTTAGATGGGATTTGGTGCATTTCTGCCATATGGTATTGTAGGGTTATTTTCTTTTGTAGTTTCATCAAACTTTATTTGTGTTTTGCCTTCTGTATATACGTGCAACACTTGCATTGCTGGTGTCCACAGATCCCAGAAGATGGCATAGGATCTCTTGGAACTGGTTACAGGTGGCTACCATGTGGGTGCTTGGAACCAAACATGGGTCCTCTAGAAAGACACCAAACGCTCTTAAGCTCCCAGCCATCTCTCCATCCCCATTGTATAGTTTTTGTTTGCTTGTTTGCTTTTTAATCCAGTTGTAGAAGGAAAAAAAATATAGGTTCTAGGGCTGGGGGACTGCTCAGTAGGAAAAGAGTGTTGCTGGCAAGGATGAGGACCAGAGTTCGATCCTCAAAGTCCACATAAAAAAAAAAGACAAAATGTGATGCCTCCTGCTTATAATGTCACTGAGGAGGCAGACACAGATTGACTTGCTATGGGAGATGATACCCAGGCTTGTATGCTGGTCTCTGAATGTACACATACACACGTGTGCACACAGATACACATGTACATACATATAAAAGTAGGTTTTAAAAAGCATGTATGTAGTATAAGCTTCAATGTTTTTAAAGACGCACATTTGATATAAATGTATATGTATATATGTACATATATACATACATTGATATGTAGATTAAAGATGAAAGATATATTAAGGAGTTTTCTTTTGGTTGCATCATAGATTTATTTGTGTGTGTGTGTGTGTGTGTGTGTGTGTCTTTTGGCAATGGAGTATAGGTAGCCTAGATTTAAAACCCAGGTACTACTACATACTGGCTGTATGACTTTGAAAACTGCTGAGCCCTTCCTGCCTCGTTGTAAAAATGAACGTGATGGTAGTTGTGCCTGTCTCCAGCGGTGATTGGAAAGAGTAGGCAGATATGCAGAAGTGCTTAGGGTCGTACTGGTTATGAGAACCCACTCCCTAAATTTTACCCAGCTTTTGCTTTGGTGAACAAGCACTCAGAAGGACACAAGAGTTTGTTTTAAACAGAAGCAAGGGGTCAGGTTCCAGGAGTCCAATGAAAGAGAAAGGTAAACGCCTCTCCTAAAGCCACGGATTCATCCCCTTTGCCCCCAAAGCTAATCTACACAACAGAAATTGGGTCGTTATCCTTGTAATTTACAGACTAAATTCACTGTGGTCAAGTTACTGAGAAAATTAAAAGATAAAAACTTGTAATGATCTCGAGGGAGGGACAGTGATCGCTGAGAAGAGTGGTCTGGGTGGCCTTCTTCAGTGGGGGATGGGAGTCCAGTGTAGAGAATGTGCCAGGAGGAGCAGAGTCCCTTGTGTCACCTGAGCTGGCTCTCAGAGCACTGGAAATTCCACAGGCATTTCTGAACTGTGGACGAGCATTAAGGGGGTGAGGGGCATCTCGTGATTGTCAGGATAGTTACTTCACTGTTTTCGCAATGACAGCCTGTGTTCCAGCACCATACACTAAGAGATCTGCTCTGAACGTTCTTGCGTGCTCGTTGACTTCTCCAGAGACCCCGAGGACCCCACCATGGAGACACACAGTGCTAAGCCCACCATCCTGGCTGCTTCTTATGTGCTGCGCTGTGGTATTAGGGGCACTGGCGTTGTGTGTGGCCAGTCTTCACATCTCTCTTACAGCGCGCTCACTAAAAGCAGCTCTTCGTGCTCCGCAACCTTTCATGTGCAGTTACATGTCTGTGACCCCCTCCTGCAGGGAGACTGACAGCTTTGTCCCTTCAGGGGCTGGCTTCGTTCACTTAGCAGGGTGTCCTCTAGGTCAGTCCATGGTGTAGTATGTAGCAGGCGTTCAGGTTGAATACTGTTCCTGGTGTTCACGGATCACAGCTGGTTTATCTTGTCATCTGTGGGAGTGTGGATTGCATCCACCTTCCAGCTGGTGTGTATAACGATGCTTCCAATGTGGCCATCTCCGTACATTTTGGTGCTGCTATTTAACAGGAAGGCTTATAAACAACAGACATCTGGTACAGCATCACCCTGCATGGCTCTGTGTGTGTGTGTGTGTGTGTGTGTGTGTGTGTATGTATGTGCAGCTGTGTGTGTGTGTGTGTGTGTGTGTATGTGGTGTATTTGTGGTATGGTGTGTATGTGTGTATGTGTGTGTGTAGGTATGTGTGCCACATCATGTCTGTGGGAGTCAGAGGACAGCCTCGCCGTCTATCTTGTCGGAGAGATGGATTCTCTCTTGTTGTTTGTCTAGGCCAGGCTGGCTTCTCCTGTCTCTGCCCGCCGTCTTGCTATAGGGACACAGAGATGCAAGGACCTGCACCTCAGATCTTTGTACTCACACCCAGAGCCGTTGCCCTAGCCCCCCAGGTCCAGTCACACACGCCCCCTCCTGCCCCAGTCAAGGGTGTTAGAGATGGAGAAACCCTGTTCCAGAATAGGGTCCAGGCAGCAGTCTCCATTCCCGTGCTATGGAGGAGAGGGATTCACCCTGGGGCGCAGCACAAGTGAGCAGTCTGTTGATTTAACAGAGGATAAGTGAAAGTATTCCCACTACAGCAGAGGACAGACCCAGCCAAGCTGTGGCAACCCCCCACCTCCACACACATCTGGACTTCCAATCCTTGGCCTACTGCTTCTCCAGTCATTCGACCCTGGGGTGGCTTGGAGTGGTCCCTTTTCCAGAACAGCTGGAATCATGTTTACCCATAACTCAGTCTGTTGTCGTTAAATGTCTTTGGTGCAAGAATACATACAAAGGTGTATCTATCAATACAGTAGACACATTTAATAGGAGAAAGCAATGGCGAATGCTTCCGGTCTTAGGGTTTCTATTGCTATGGTGAAACTCCATGACCAAAGCAATTTGGGGAGGAAATATCACCGCTCATCATCAAAGGAAGTCAGGACAGGAACTCAAGCAGGGCAGGACCCTGGAGGCAGGAGCTGGTGCAGAGCCCGTGGGGGAGTGTTGTTTACTGGCTTGCTTCTGTGGCTTGCCCAGCCTGCTTTCTCATACAATTGAGGACCACCAGCCCAGGGCTGGTGCCATCCACAGTGGGCTGGACCCTCCCCCATTGATCACTAATTAAGGAAATGCCCTACAGGCTTGAGTACAGCCTGATCTTATGGAGGCATTTTCCTAATTGAGCTCCCTCCTCCATGATGACTCTAGCTTGTGCCAAGTTGACATAAAACCAGCCCCCAAAGAGGGCCTGTGTGGGATGTGGCCGAGGCTGGCTTTGCTGGTTTCCCAGAGCTCTGGCTTTCCTCTTACATGGTCTGGCTGTTTCAGACCCCACCTTTAAGCCCTCTGCTTTATCTCCCCCAATGTTCCTGACGACCGTTCTGGCTTGTTTTTGTCAACTTGACACAAACCTAAGCATGACTCAGAAGAAGAGGGAATCTTTAGTTGGGAAATGCATTCATATGACTGTCCCGTAGGCGTGTCTATACGTCTCTCTGTATAACATTTTCCTGACTGGTGGGTGGTGCCACCCCTAGGAAGGTGCTTCTGGATGCGATAAAACAGCAGGCTGAGTAAACCGTGTGGATAAAGACAGTAAGCTGTCCTCCTCCGTGGTTTCTGCTCCAATCTCTACCTGCAGGGTCCTGCTCTGTCTAAGTTCTTGCCCTGACTTCCTTCAGTGATGTCTTCATCACAGCAACAGCAACAGTAACCAAGACACCAACCTCACTGTCCCAATCCTAACATGTGTTTGAAACCCAACAAGGTCAGGGTTCTGCGTAGGACTTTGAGGAGTACACGAACATTTGATCTCACAATTTGATACCCAGCTTTCTGCTCCAGCCTCTGCTTTGAGTTCTGTTTGGTTTGTATCAAGAAGTAAAACTGTCACCTGGCTGGCCTGGGTTTTAAGCTTGCAAAGAACCATGGTGCTCTCTTCTGTGGTACCACAGTTGCTTTGGGCAAGCACTCCTGGTCCAGCCAGGGTTGGGGGGGGCTGAGGGGAGGGCCAGCACTCACTTCAGCCACACTAACAGCTTCTCTTTCCCTCCGCCACAGGCCAGTCCATTGTGGGCTGCAAGGCCATCCTCATTGACGACCAGGTGTTTGTGGTGGTGGCCCAGCTCTTCGGCGGCTCTCACATTTACAGATACGACGAGAGCTGGACCAAGTTTGTCAAATTCCAAGACATAGAAGTGTCTCGAATTTCCAAGCCCAATGACATCGAGCTGTTTGAGATCGACGACGAGACCTTCTTCATCATTGCTGACAGCTCGAAAGCAGGCCTGTCCACGGTTTACAAGTGGAACAGCAAAGGATTCTATTCCTACCAGTCTCTGCATGAGTGGTTCAGGGACACGGACGCGGAGTTTGTTGACATCGATGGGAAGTCACACCTCATCCTGTCCAGCCGCTCCCAGGTCCCCATCATCCTGCAGTGGAACAAAAGCTCGAAGAAGTTTGTCCCCCACGGAGACATCCCCAACATGGAGGATGTGCTGGCTGTGAAGAGCTTCCGAATGCAGAACACCCTCTACCTTTCGCTCACCCGCTTCATCGGGGACTCTCGGGTTATGCGGTGGAACAGCAAGCAGTTCGTGGAAGTCCAGGCTCTTCCATCCCGGGGGGCCATGGCCTTACAACCCTTCTCCTTCAAAGATAACCACTACCTGGCCCTGGGGAGTGACTACACTTTCTCACAGATATACCAGTGGGATAAGGAGAAACAGCAGTTTAAAAAGTTTAAAGAAATCTATGTGCAAGCTCCCCGCTCTTTCACAGCCGTCTCCACCGACAGGAGAGATTTCTTTTTTGCATCCAGTTTCAAAGGGAAGACGAAGATCTTTGAACATATCGTTGTTGATTTAAGTTTGTGAAAGGTGCGATTGGGGGGATTTCAAAGATATGTAGTGTTAGCTCTCACAAGACGGAGAGGAAGGACCAAGAAGAAATAAAATTAAAAAAGAAAAACCCTAAAATAAGCCAGGCTCAGAGCTCTGAAATTAAAATTCCATAATCGCTGGGGGAGATAGTTAGACATTTTTCAAACTTTTAGGATTCACATTTTAACCAGGGATTGCATTTTCTTTTTCTTTTCTTTTTGGCTGATTGCATGACAGGCCCATGCACCTATTTAAACATGGCATCCTAAAGCCTGTAGTTTCTGAGAAAAGACTATAGCATCTTACCATCTGGCACGCAATGTGCTGCTACTTCATTTTCAATAAGAAAGGAGAACACAGAGCAAGGTGGGCCAGCCCTCTTAGTGAGATTAAGAAACATGGACAAAAAGCCCCCACCCAGCTAAACCCACAGACCTCCTCACCCCATCTTAGCCGCCTTTTAGCTAGGAACTGTTAAAGCCAAAGTGAGCTGGGGATATTTGCTGCTCATTCATTTCAACGTCTCAGAACACCCTGTCTGCAGTGCTATTTTGAGCCATCCTAGCTTTCTGAAAGTCACAGCCAGTCCTTCCAGAATCTTCCTTGGAGCAGCACCTTGGCTCTGCCCTCCTCGGATTGATCCCCTTCACATGTGTGTACTCACAGGTTAATATCGGATATGTCTTCCTGTGCCACAGGGAAAATATACTACTGATACATGTCTAGGCCAGCATGGGCTGTGGGCCCAGCAGCAAGATAAAGGGATCCCCCCCCCCTTTTTTTGTTCAAAGGTGACCCTCAAGGTGGCTGGAGCAATTGTGTGTGTTTGATGTACCTGTTGCTCACTTGCATCTCTGAACCCGTCTTTGTAGTTGGTGGGAGACTGGCAGATAGGCCAAAGGCTGAATGGTGCTTTTCATCTGTCCTTTAGAGGGACGAACAGGTGTTTCCATCCAATGCGCACGGGGTAGGAGTTTTGAAGTGAGATTTTAGGGTGGGGGGTGGGGGGAGGCTTTACTCAGATCTTGATGTGCTTTTAGACTCAGAGGGGGCCCTTTGATGGATGCATGTCTCTGCCCTCTGGACGACTTAATATTTCAAGTAGTTGATTGAATAGAACCCTGCCTACCTGCCCGCCTGCCTCCTTTGCCCCTGGGACAGTGCTTTGTCAGGTTGCAGCTAGTACAGTGGCCGGCTTGTGCAACCCTGCTGAAGTTTCTGCACACGCAAGAGTCAGAATCACGGCTTGGATGCTGTCCACGGGGGCACACCTCCCTCTTCCAGCTCTCTAGGAAAGGGAAGCATGCCCATGTGCTTAGTGGTGAGGTATCTGGTAGAGCATCAGCAGAGGCCAGCTGGAGCCCGGTAGAGTTAATCTCATAGATCATGTCTGTGCTTGGGATCAGGTGGCCTATTTCAAAATAGGCCTCCAGTGGGGACAGCAGGGAAGCCCTTGGGGTCTGGTTTTGTAGATGGTTCCACGGTGGATATTCTGTCTAAGTAGCTGGCTCTCTTTGAGAATATAAAGCAGATGCTTTCTCGGGGCACTTTGCAGAGTAACCCACCGCCATGAAGGTAGCACAATCCCCCTGCAGTGTGGGGAGGAGCTTTAATGGCCATCGCCACACTGTATACAGGTAGAGGGTATGTCAGAAATGTGAGTGTCTGCTCTTTTTCTGTAATCAGCGGGGGCTGATCGATACACCATACCGGAGAGCTATGCATTGATGATAAGAAGCTCTCCCGGCTGATGTTTCTAGCCTAGGGGCCCAAGGACTTTAATGAACCCTGTCACTCACATTCTATAGCGTGCTTGCTTGGAACTTTGGTGCTAAATGCCAAGCAAATAGAAAGAGCGGTCTGTTTTTTTGTTCTCCAAGCATAAATTACTCTTTCTTGGCATCCATTTGTCTCCTTGGTTCATTTGAATTGACCACCAGTTCCCAGCTCTCCATGTTGGAGGCTGGAAGTGTGATGTTTTTGTTATTCCTCCCCCTGGAGAACACGCGAGCCGCGCCTCACCCCCCCCCCCCCACTCCCATGCATGGGTCCCCAGACTGGCTGGTAGCACTGATGTCAGGTAGAAATAAAGCTCTCGTTCTGTGCTGCTCATAGAGGAATCTACAGGGGCATCTCTCAGAGTGCTACCTCCACAGAGCCTCACAGCAGCTCTTCCCTCGGTAGCGAAGTTTAGAAAGTCCAAACACACAGGGTCTGAGCTTGGGATGGGGGCTTTGTTGCACCCAGAAGAAGCATTTGAGTAGCAAAAGAGATCCCTAGTAGCTGGGCAGTGGGGCTGGGGTACCAGAGGGCTGGCAATCCTCTCTGCTGCAATCAAGTCTCCCGTTTCTTTTAAAGTAAGTGTACACGAGCCTGGAGTCTGCAGTCTTCTGAGTCCTGTGCTGTGCGGGGAGATGTTTGTTCTGGCCAACACCGCGAAGGAGCAGAGACGTTCTTGGCATAAGGTGGAGGAGCTTTGCTTCATTAATCTTACTGTTCTCTCTCTCTCAAGAATCTCGGAAGTTCTAAGCAATGTCTGCAAAAGGCTTTCTTCCAGTAATGATGTAAACTAACAAAACCCACACACACAACCATGGCAAAAGCCCAAGGCAGAGACATGCACGGGACTGTCCAGCTGAGGGCGATTGCTCGATCCTTCCCTCCCTCCCTCCCTCTCCTTCCTTCCTTCCCTTCTTTCCTTCTCGTCACCCACACACTGTCATCTGCCCAGCTTGTCCTTTGTCATCTCTACACCTGGGTTCCTAGGCTGATCCCTCCAACCAGCAGTCACGCGGCCTTTAGGCCCTAACCTGAAATTGAGGGATAACCCTCAGACGCTAAGATCGGTCGTAGATCTCTATAAAGACGAAAAATAAACCTTAGGGTAGACAAGCACTTTGTTCTTGGGCTGTGGGGAAGATCAGCATCATGGAAGCTGTATGTCCCCATTCTGTACATCCGTGTTCCTCTCATGTGTCATACGTAGCTTTTTGGTTTACAGAGGGCAGGTGTTATTCTAATTTCAGAGAGCCGGAAATAGACACAGAGCCTAAGTGGATGGCCTGCCTGCGATTATGCAGGGTCAAGGAGCAACCTTCTCTCCAGCAGCAGCTGTTGTGCTCTCTCTCTCTCTCTCTCTCTCTCTCTCTCTCTCTCTCTCTAACGCTCTGCTGTGCCCACCCAAAGACAGACACTGTTGCCATGACAGTGAAGACAGCAACTCTTTCAGATTAAGGAGTTGCAAGCAGGATGAACAGCCAGGAGGAGAGTCATACCTGACAGACACCATTCAATCAGCAAACACCCCAGCACTGTGTGGCATGCTCGGCCACGCTTGAGAAAGCCTTCCTGGAACGTTGGCTAGCTTCAGTTGTCTAGAGAGGGTTTCTAGCAGGCATGCAGGCATGGCTGTGTCTCCCCCCCCCCCCCCCCGACACGGGACGAATGCTGAGTCTGGACACATCTGGTTCTTGTCATGACATCCAGCACATAAGATGCGTGCTGTGAGGGAGAAGTTAAAAACCCACATGCAGGAGCGATGATGAATCGCCCTGGGGCCTTCTCCAGCCTTCGGGTGTGGCCGTCTTCTTCCAGCGGGGTGAGGCTGTGTTTTAGGAAAGAAATCGGTGTGAGATGCTGGAAGCTGAGCTGCCAGGAGCGCTCGTGACGGAAATTTCTCTGACTGGGGGAGCTCCACGAGAGCCAGGTGAATGTGTGTGGTGGTGGTGGGGAGGGTCTCCTGTTTGCACGCCACCTAAAGGAAACCTCTAGCCAGCTGCTCCAGCCTTCTGCAGAAGAACCAGCCCTTGTGGGAAGCTTTGAAAGGGGGTTGTCTCATGAGGCCGTGCGGAGGGTTTTGTTCGACAACACGCTAGAGCGGAATCAGCAGTCTAGCAAGCAGGTGCAATAAACAAGGCGGTTCATGGCTGGGGCACCATGGGAAAATGGGGGGAGACACAGGGCAGGTGGTCGCGGAGCTGTGTGTTGCGGAGAGTGGGAATAAGCTGGAAAGCAAAGGAAAGAGTAAGCATGATTCCCGTTGCCTTAGCAGAGGGTGGGGGGGGGGGACCAGGCAAATGGACAGCATGCCTGAAATTGACCAGCATCCATTGCGATGCTGATTCAAGTAACGATGTCACTGGGCCGCTGAGCCCTCAGCTGAGGCACCCTGTCCCTTACTTACTTGTCCCATAGCTTGTGCCAGCAGCCGCCTCTTTCTAGCGGGAAACTATGCATTCCCTATCCAACCCTTTGACTACCAGGAATGTATGAGAACTGTGATAAAATAGGCCACCATGCCATTTGGTACTGTTTTTATGTATTTTAAATGTAAAACTTTAGCTGAAACCATACTTTATATGTATATGGGAGTAAGTTTTACAGTAGGCAGACAATGATGGATGTGTTTTAAAGCTGTAGATATACTTAGCTCTTTTTTGGAAAATAGATTCAACACATGATATGCCTCTTAATTCTATATATTCTGTAATCCTGTGAATAAAAAAAAGTAGGAAACGCCTAACATGGCTTTGATCTCTTGTCTGCTTCAAAATGAATGTGTCCGCTTGAGTCACAGCCGAGGACGCTGCAGAGAGCTGAGGAGGTTGGGGAGGATGGAAATATCCCTGTTGTTTAAATGAAGATGGGTGCCTCGGGGTGGGGGGCTTTGTGTGTGTGTGTGTGTGTTTCCCTTGCAAACTAAGAATTCACTTAAAAACCACTAAAAATTACCAAAGAACTTTCCAGTATGTATCTATGTGATGTGTGGACTCAGAAACCTGGTGGATGGACTATGAGTTCTAGGAATCTGAGGGACTTGTGGTAATAGGAGGGAGGATATCTAAATCTTGCTGAATTCCATGAGGGATGGATCTCGGTCATCTGCATGGCTAAAACCTAACCAGCACATCGTTGGTCTACAGCAATTGTTGGGAAATGTAAGTCCTTGTCCCTTACAGCTCTCTTCCTCCCCACCCAGCTGCAGAACTCCTGTGCAAACAAGGTTGAGCAAACAAGGTTGTTCTCAGAACTTTCCAGTGCACAGTGCCCATGCCTTGACCCCAGGTGTGGGTGGTGCATGACTTCCTC